ACCGATGTAAAAAAAAAATGCCTGTCGGACTAAATATATAAAGAATGTTAAGGAAGAGTATATAAACTAAAGTTTGACTCATGTTTACCAGGCTCACCGTCCTAGAGGAAGACAACGACGAGGATAAAAACAGTTGATTAGATGTAATTGGTAAACCCACGTATAATGCTGAAACTTTCGATGGCGAAGAATGAATTCAAAGAACATCTCGGACAACTGATGATTTAAATAAGATAACCTCGCCTATTATTCAGCTAGATTCGCATTTAATAAGCAATTAAATTTACCCAACCTAATTGCAATTAACGGTAAATAAAGTAGTAACAATAGTCCAATTATGGCTATCTGATTTCTCAACGAGGCCTGAAGTGTACTTGTCAAAATATTGTAATGAAATTGCATCACTAATTTAGTCAGGTCTATTTCATTTTATTTCAACTGTTTTATTCAAGTCGTTGTTTTCTTCAATGATTGGTAAACAGTATGCAATCTCAAACTGATAAAAATTATTCAAAAGAGAATCCAATTTGCTGATTAAAGTTAATTATACAACAATATTACTTACCTTTCAATGAAATCAAATAATGTATTCAAATTGGCTTGCTTAAAAGGAGGGCAAGTTTGCGGCCATTTGCAAATCAGTCAAGAAGTTGTCAAGAATATGATGGCGAATGTTTTGATCAAAACAGCATTGATGACGTCAGTTAACGCCCAAAAGAATAATGGGCGTTTATTGACGTCATCAGAGAACATCATTAATATGCAAACATTTCATTTGGTCCGCTACTATTTGCCATGGCTGTTAACGGGTTAGCTCGTTCCATCACTTCTCCTTTCAATATATGGTATCTTGACGATGCAACGTTGGGAGGATCCATTGAGGCCGTAGCTGCTGACCTCCGACGAGTTATTCCTGCTTTATCTCTACTTGGACTTAAGATTAACTTGTCCAAGTCAGAGATAATAAACTTGAATTATACTGCAGATGATTTCGAGAGTGCTATCTGGGATATCATACACATCCTTGAGGATATAAAAATAACACCTAAGGAGGAATTACATATTCTTGGTTTTCCAGTCTTTTCAATGGCCATTCGACAGTGTTTGGATACGAAGCATGTCATTCTAACAAAGATGACTGAGAAATTGCAATTAATTGATGCAGACCTAGCACTCTTCCTCTTGAAGAACGGTTTTTCGCTACCGAATTTCCTCTACACTCTCCGAAGTGCCCCTTGCTACCTCGAACAGGATTTCTTAAATTAAATGGATATCAAAATTAAGAGATGCGCGGAGCTAATTTGCAACGTTAATTTCGACGACACAGGCTGGAGACAGGCAAAGCTCCTGGGCCTTCGGTTGGCAGAGGATAGAAAAAAAAATGTTTATAGGTACTTTGTTCAAACTTTTTTCAATAAATAATTCTCTTTCATTAAAAAAAAGACGTTAGCAACTTCAAAAAGTGTGCTATTATTAACAGTTAATATTTTTGAACGTTTATTTATTGAAAAAAAGTTTGAACAAAGTAACTATAAAAATCTTTTTGTTTTTAATATCCTCTGCCAGTTACAAAGATGGAGAAAGCGTTACCTCGCACCATCGCTAGTGAGACACGCTGCAAGAGCCACTCCGTTTCGTGAGGCTCGTCCCTTAATTGAGACGCCATCCCGCCAATCCTCTGAAGGAACGCCATCAAACAAGGGCCAACAACCCCTGAAGTCCCCACTGCCACAGGAGTAAAAAAAAATCTATCAGCAAGAGAAGAATATTTAACTATTTTTTTTATCTCTTCGTCCATGTATATATTTCAAAATATACGTTAAGATAAAGTGCAAATATTTTTTCTTTTAACCAATTTACCCCAGGCAAGGCAATAAAGCCACTAGGACGCAAGGGGTTTCTGAGTGTAGGAGAATATGAGAAAAACTAAGGTGAGAAAACAATAAAAGTACAAGAATTAAGAAGAAAACAGAAGATAACGATTGACATTGCATTTAAATTTTTGAAGATTAAAGTTGACTGGAAAGCAAGAAGCTGGAAGAGAGTTCCACAAGCAAGAAGTGCAATAGAAGAAACTGTTAGCATAGAACTTACGGTTACATCTAACCATTTTAACTGTAAAATGATGAGAACTTACCGCCAATCTGGTATTACGCTTAAATTCTTAAAGTCTATGTGCCATAACGGAAAGTTTATATTGAGGAACATTTCAAGAAGTACGGCCAAAGAGCATTCCGGACTGTGAACGATCTCAAGAAGAAGAAGAAGAAGAAACAATATGGAATTAATATCGTTCAGATGAAACTGTCTTACCAAATCCAACGGTATCATAAGATGAACAGAGTACGGTCACGGGGTATACAACCCTGACGCCTTAGTTTTTCTTAATCATTTCAATCCGATCAAGGATAATAAAGCCACTAAGACGCAAGGGATTACTGAGCGTTAGAGAATCTGAGAAAAAGAAAACATTATTCAGGAGAGAGAACAATAAAAGAAACAGGAATTAAAAGATAACGATTGACATTGCGTTTAAATTTTTAAAGTGTAAAGTTTAGATACCAAAGAGGAAAGCTCATCAGAACAATTACCATGAAAATATTTATAGAAAAGGTAGAGGGAAGCCACCTGACGGCAGTGGGAAAGTGATTGAAGCCGAAATGCCGGGTTAGGACCGATGACATTGCAGATTCTATTTTTACATAGAAATATGTAAGATAGATTTTTCAGAATGTATTTTACATATTTACAAGTCTAGCATTCGCCATTGTTTTGAATATTGCTGCCACATCTGGTCTGATGCTCCTTCTATATATTTAGGGATTCTTGATAAATTCCAAAGAATAACCTGCATTGATATTTGTCCTGATCTGGCATCTCGGCTTCAGTCACTTCCCCACCACCATTTCTATAAAAGTGAATATAAATAATAAAAAGTGAAGCAGGTTAGATCGATAAACGTTTCCTATTTGTTCTTTATCCAATCATTCTGTTGGATTCCGAGCCATATTTGATCTGTATCTGACCTCAATTCATATGATATAATATAGTTTTTAAGGTATACTATATTTACGGAGGCACTGTGGATAGCGGCTAGGATTGAGGAATCAGAGAACCGAGTTCGAATTCCAGTCGAATCCATTACATTCACTTACGTGCTAATACCTTTGGGAAAGGTGTGAATCTTCTTCTCCCCCTAGCTATGGCTAAATAGCAGGGCAGACCTGGTTCTATAGCCTTGGATGGCAACTTTTCCTGCAATAGTCACTATTGACTACAGCATACTTTTCCTGTAATAGTCACTATTGACTACAGCATACTTTTCCTGTAATAGTCACTATTGACTATAGCATACTTTTCCTGTAATAGTCACTATTGACTATAACATACCTTTCCCTGTAATAGTCACTATTGTTTAGCAAAAAACAAGTAAAATTTTTAAGCTTAAGTAAGCTTTAAAAATTTACTTGTTTTTTTGATAAACAACATTTTCCAATTAAATGTAAATGCTTCGCAAATATATTTCGATTAAAGTAACAGTATTTTATATTTTTTTAACCCTTTTAATTCTTCAGTTAATGGATGAGTAAGCTCATCGCGAGTTCTGCGACAATAAAATATCCATAGAAATTCCCCAATCGCATCAGTCAATATTTGAGCTTAACATCTTTAACAAAACATTACAATAACAATCATAAATATGAATGCTTGTTCTTGTTTAAAGAAGTAAGGGGGTACAAATGAAAAGATTTGAAACTGGCAATATTTTCCATTTCATTGAAACAGACGTTAAATATTTCTATTTTCTTTCTTTCTTTCTTTCTTTCTTTCTTTCTTTCTTAATGTAACCAATATATTTTCCCGTCTGTCCATGCGATCAAAACGGAAGAGTCCATTATTTACGATGTATTCGCAGGAGCCGCTTCACACTCCTATCTTAACCTTATTTCCTCACCAGAACCACGTAGCGTCTCTGATATGTCTTTTCTGGCTTTCCACGCGATCGAACCTGAATAGTTCTGGAATTGTCAGCAGTGGTCAACTGAACTTGTTTTGTTTCAATAAATTTATTCTCCTATTCATCACAAAAAACAATCTGTTCTATCAAACGTGAGAAAACTGGTATTAAAAGCTAGTTGCGTAACTAGAAAACGAAGGTTGCGAAATTCGAAAGTATTCGAGAGAAAAAATAATAGTTAGTCCATTATTTATTAGGTATTGGCAGGGAGTAACGGTCGTGTTAACTAAGAGAGGGGAAAAGTAGAATTATAGTAAGGTAACGATTTAGAAAGCGTAGCTTAGATGTGGCACCCAGTGCGTATTGAATTTGCTACTCATTCGTAATTGATCTAGCTCGACAAGCATTACTCCACGTCGAAGTACCCATTGATCAATGATATTTATAATAGATTTTTATTTGTATGCAAATTACTTTAACGTATTTTTTTTAAATTTACATATTAGTAAATGTCTTTAATGACGTCACTAAACGGCTATTATTCTGTTGATCGCTATGTGACGCCGTTAATGTTGTGTTTTGATCAAAACATTCGCCATCATATTCCGGATATCTTGAAGAAATTGACCGATTTGCAAATTGCTATACAAACTTGTGTACCTTTTACAAAAACCAATTTGAATCTATTCTTCGATTTCATTCAATGGTAAATAATTTTATTGTATATTTATTTTGAATTTCCAATTTTGATTTTATCGTGAGAAGACATTTTGAATACCGTTTCTCAAAATGTCTCTTCATGTTTTTAATTTATAAACGCAACGGTTTTATTTCTCAGTGTATTTTTTAATTTCTTGCTCTTTATTGATTTATTCGTCATTGTATTCTTTGAATTATCCGTAGAAGTTTTCATGTTTCTGAAGAGAATCGGTAGAAAAATAAAACAGCAACCATGAAATTGTTTTCCCTACAGTAGTATTGTTATTTAATAAGTAGTTTTCCTCCAGCATTTACTCTTTGTTCACTCCAACTTATTATTATCACGGCCATATCACTTTCAAATACCGGTTCTCGTTCGATTAACGATGTTAAGCAACGTTGAACCTGGTCAGTAACTAGATGGGTGGCCGCTTGGGAATATCAGGAGCTTTAAGCTTGGATGTTCGGATAGTGTAAAGGATAAGGGCTTAGAATGGGAAGTCGGAGAACTGAGTTTGAATTCCAGTCGGGAAAGGTATGAAGCCATCTTTTTTACCCCATCTATAGGTTAAATAGTAACTGGAAATCATTATTATCTCCAAGAAATTGTTAATACAATAATCACTTGCAAAAAAGAAAAAGAATTGTTCTTACTATCCCAATATATTTTTTGGCTTTAAATAACCTACTGTATGAAAGGATGAACGGTAATAATGCCACGGTAAAATGGAACCGGTAAAAATGATTTGGTCACAACATAAGATTCTAGTTTTTAAATTCTGATTCTAAAAGTTGATATAAAACGCTTTGCTCAAATCTAAACATATTTGATTTTATTATATTTGTTTTTTCATAAATTTTACACGTATAACTTTATATTAACAAATGGAGGGAAAACAATTCTACTTTTCTTTTTTTTTGCTAATATTAAAAAATTAATAAAGAAAAGGTTATATAGGATATATTTAAAAAAAAAAATTAGATTTAATTCAAAATCAACATTTTTTTCAAATTGTGTATATAATTTTTATTTTTATTTTAATAAACTTTTTTTTCACTTGTGCCATTTTACCGGTGTCATCAATGCACTTAAATTCGATCAGAAAAAAATAGTGACATATCCCGAAGACTAAAACGCTTTTGTATCGCATGCGTCTTTTGCAGAAGAAAAAATTTAAAAAAAAAGAAAGAAAGAAAAATGTTTCACCAGTAAATGAGGTCAGTAAGTTCATGTAAATTAGCTTCTGCTAATTGTCGTTCAAATTTCACTGAGTGGAATGAATTGCATAGAAAAATAAGCTAATCCATTTCTATGCTTTACAACTCGAAAACTTGGAAAGTGTCCACCAAACTGCTATAAAAGCAACTGGTTTTTCCTACGGAGGGAAAATTTTACGATGGAGAAGCATGTCTATACATGGAGATTTGGAATGTAAAAAAAAATCAATTATTATTATTGAACTTATCGCAACATTTACTCTACTGCTACCACTACTATTATGAGCGTGGCCGAGTCGTTAGAACGTTCGCTTTCTGATCATGAGATCCGGGTTCGAATCTCACCATGGTCGATTAGTCAGTAAGGCGACTTCCTGATGTTATCGGACTGAATCGAGGTCGATCCCACCGTGCGGCACCTTTGGAAAGTGTCTGGGTTGACTCAAGCCTTGACTTAACCCTTGGGGCCGCCGATAGTTGTGCTAGCACGAAGCCACAAGTCATCGTGGCCGAGTGTGCTGGCCGTGTTCAAATTGTTGATCACGATAGATAACACGCCATTTCCCAGAAACTGTAACTAAGGTCTTCTCAGCATAGTTGCAGTGTAAATCATAGTTGGGTGTTGAACAAACACAAATGTACCTGAGCAAGCATCTGCAGTAGACGCCATAATAGACGGGTATCCTAGAATACGAGTGGCCAGCATTACTAGTACTACCACAACAACAACAATAATAATAATTCCTTTGATTTCAGGTGTAGTATACTCATTTCTTTCCGGGTGAAAATGAAAATTGAAAAGTTACAATATTATAAAATTCTATCATTATTCATAAATCTAGCACGCATTTTGCAAGAGATTGTCTTTTTTTTTCATGTGTCAGGGAAACATCCAGAGGTGGGCATCCTACCGGTGTGCACCGGTTCTGATTCGCGAACTGATTCTTAAAATTATAAAAGCTTAGCGAACAGGTTGTTGGATTATCCGAAAATAATCTTATATATTAATAGCCGACATATAATAGCTAAAAATATAATTAATACCATTGTTATAAGTTTTGCGGAGGACTTTCTGTGATGCGCAATTTATTCTGACAAAAAAATCATATTGAAATTAAAAACGTGGCAAATCTTCTAGTCATACATTTGATAGGTCTTTTATTGGGTTTTGGGGACTGCATCGATTCAGTTTAAATGTGGCTAAGAAAGCATAACATGACACTTGAGTCAAAACTGTAGGAAGTTTTGTTCAGACTAGGGTGTCACTGATTAGCCATTAAAAATAGCATGAACTGTCCAGCGCGGTGATTACCAATTAGGGAAGAGGAAGGAAAGTTATCCCAGCACTAATATGACACCCAATATTCCAGACATATGCATCACAGTCAAATGTACGCCATATTGCAACTGGCTTTGATAAAAAGAGCGTATAATCTTGCAGGTGGGGACTTAGTTAAAAATACCCTCAGGTCGTGTAACTCCAGTCCACTCAGACGGTCTGCAATTGAAGGTGTTCCTAATTATCTAGATTTGACTGTCAAGTGGCATTGGCTACCTCATCCTTGAAAAAAACAAACAAAAAAACCCCCTCGCCACACGGTTATGATATTCCCACACTACTCCCACTCATAAACAGATATACACAGTGCGTCAAGTTACGTTCACGTGACTGAGATGCAAATCTGTTTTAGTGAACTGGATATTCACTGTAGCCTAATTCACCAAGATAAACCATGTACATATTAACACTTGAAATAAAATATATAAGAAATTATCAGATACATTTATTATTATTATTATTATTATTTGTGCATGTTATGATTCCTGCTTTCTATCCTGTAGGGCTGGATCCAAACTATGGTCCTTAGGCCCTATAGGAGAATTGTCATTTAATTAATAGCATTTTCTTAGTATATGGGATGCTGCTAGTAGAACGATCTTCTGAACAACTTGTATGTTGATGTTACCTGGGACACTGTTAGTAAAATTGTCCATTCCTTTTCTCAGGAGGCCCAGTGTTCAGATTACTATTGGTACAGTCTCAGTCTTTATTCTCCATATCCTATTAAGATTATTATAGTTACTACTACTAGTAGGGCGATCTTCTGGGCAACTTGTTTGGTGATATCACCTAGGACACTTAATAAAATTAACATTTCTTTTCTCACGAGGCCCAGTGTTCAGATTACTATTGGTACAGTCTCAGTCCCATATCCTATTAATCTCGATCTCCAGGTCCTTGTATTTGGACAATTTCTCGATAATTTTCATGGAAGTGTTTCTCTCAGATGGTACGGCTATAACAATAAGCGTACACTTCCTGAATTTCTTGTCTTTTATGATAATATCAGGTCTTTTGGCTTTTATTTTCCTATTAGTTTGAAGTGGCATGTCCCAGATGATAGTTACATCGTTATTTTGAGCAACTGTTACTGGTTGGTGCTCTCAGTGGTTTCGATTTTGTGCTTCTTTCATATCTTCTAGTGCACATATGTCGCTACCTTGTTATGTCTCTGGATATATTTACTTTTTGCCAGTTCCGGACATCCTGAAATAATATGGTCGACAGTTTCATATTTTCCACAGATCCTGCATTTCGGGTTAGTTCCATCCTTGATTATTATTATTGTGTGTGGCATCATCTTCCTTCCTAGAGAGTAATTTTAAGAGTCTAATTAATTACCAAGTCCCCTTCGAGGTCTCTGAATAATGTACAGTATTTACATTAGTCGGACTATTGTCCTCATCTTTGTCGCCATATTTATCACAACGTTTCGGCCGTTGTACGCTCCGGCCTTCTTCAGGTGGTTGGAATTTCGAACTGAACCCTTTATTTCGATCACTGGGGTACTCTGTTCTAGTTCCACGTGCCATGTTTGATGGATATCAGTTATCAGTTATCTCCTGCTAATTTTCCCTCTGAAAGTTCTCCACTGCCTTAACCAGGTATTGAACTCACCTTCTTTGGGTCTGTCACTGGATCTAACCAACGCCTTTATCCATGTGTCCTTGAGGACATCTGGCTATGAACTTCTGAGTATTATAAACCTAATATTTTCAGCATCATTTTTACCAGTGCTCATATTGCAATTTTGCTGTTATCATTGCATGTCTTTACCAGAGTTCATATTGCAACTTTGTTATCATTGCTTTTCTCTGGCACTCCTTATTACTGGTTCCCATATTGTATTTATTTCTATGCTTGGTCGGCTCAGACATAGACAGATAGATAGAATATAGAGAGTCTCTGAATAAAAAAATCACCTTAAGGTGAGTTATCTATGCACATTTGGGACAGTTCGTTTAGAGAGGGTTTTGTGGATGACGGGTGCAGTCCCACATAAAAGAATCTCTTGTAGCTCTGAGATGCTTATTTGTCCACGAATTTTACTCACATGATTTTCGACGCCCTTCTTTATCGTACCCAACGCCCCTATCCCATCAGGGATACTCGTAGTTTTAAGTTTCCACATTTTTGTTACTTCGGTTTTTAGGCCCTTATAATTTGACAGTTTTTGAAATTCTTTTTAGAAACGTTGGAATCCCGTGGGCAAGTCTTATCAATTAGTTGTCAGGTTCCTTTTTTAAAATCATTAAAGACTGTGTCAGGTTTCTTTGCCTCAAATTTCCAGTCTGTGAGGATTGGGAAATGCCACAGTATAGTCACTCCACCACCATTTGTGACGTCATCCGGTTATTATTATTATTATTATTATTATTATTATTATTATTATTCCTTTTGATTTCTGTTGTATATACATTTCCTTCGGGTCCCAACCAGGGACCTAAGATCACAAATGGTATTAGGGCATTTTCCACTGAGAATTTTTGTAAAAAAAAGAAAGAAAAATATCCTAAGAGTACACACATTTTACATGGATAAAACTCTTCTTAATGTGTAAGTTGTACTTGTGAGTACAATTTTTTGTCTTTTTTAAAGCATGGGCTACCTGATGTCCCTTCAACGAGTTTATCGAAACCTTTTACAATCAATCCGAGAGCTCCAATTACTACTGGAATTACTGATATCCTCATGTGCCACATTTTTTAGATTTCCATTTCACGATCCTTGTATTTTTTATTTTTTGTTATTTTTTTATTTTTTTTTATGTTATTTTGTTTTGTTATTTTTTTGTTATTTTTTAAAATCTTCGTCAAAGATACAATACAGTTTGCAGAAACTCAGTCAGACTTAGGCGATCACATATGTTTCGATACATGACTGATGAGGCAGATTTTTTTCCCGCAGCAGATTGCCATTTCTTTCTGCGGTAGACCAGTTGCCATCCAAGGCTATAGAACCCAGTCTGTCCTGCTATTTACCCATAGAAGAAGAGGAGGAATAATAACTTTCGCAAAGGTATTTGCACGTAAGTGAATGTAATGGATCTGACTGGAATTCGAACTCGGTTCTCCGATTCCTCAATCCGAGCCGCTATATTGCATAAACTACCATGTCAATAAGACACATTCTGTTTTAGTGGTTTTTGATCAATATGTCTGGGTGATTAGCCTTGATTGTTTTGTCTGTGTGTATTGTAAAGTCCCATAAAATTGTTAAAGAATCTATGTCTGTAACCGGGTCTGGATTCATGCAAATTTCTTTTACTTGTACCATTCTGATTCGTATAATCCATACTATTATTGTTTTATTTGCTGTTGTTTTAGTCGTTTTTACTAATGACTAGCAGTAGAGCCCGGCGCTGCCCGGGGATGTAACAGTAAGAGATAGATCAAGTATCGACCATCATAAAGACTGAAAAATAAAATTGACAAAGATTATTGTTTAAGGTTGACGAACACGCATGTCTTAATTAGTTATTTTTTTTTTTACGAATTGGTCAAACCCAAACTCAAACAAAAACATTGTTTTCAATCGGTATGAGTCTACCGATTGAATAGAATTTTATTATAATCAATTAATTGTCTTGTAAATGGAATTTTTAAAGCATTCTGAATGTAAAAATAAAGAAAAAAGTGTGCAAGACAATAACACTACCTGCCAAAAAAAGTGAAGTTTTGTTGAAATCGGTTGAAAAATGTAGGAAATCCGTTCCTATATATAAACGAACACACACACACGCACACACACACACACACACACACACACACACACACACACACACACACACACACACAACCTGTGTTTTATAATAAGTATAACTCGATATGAGTTGTTCCCCTTTCATTCTCGCGATAGCGATGCCTCTTAATCGTGTTTTCAAATTGATTTCGTGCAAAAAAAAATGTTTTTCCAATTTTTGGCGCTGTCAGAACCACCGCAAGGTAATTTTACGTAGCCCTGTGAAGTTTAGTTGAAATCGGTTGAAAAATGTAGGAAATCCGATCCAATATATAAACGAACAGACACACACACACACACAACCTAGGTTTTCATGATAAGTATGATTTTCGTTTACGAATCAGTTGGTTCAGATTCGTAAGAGGGATCACAATCTAGGGAATAAGTTTTTAACAGTTTGGCGGTAACAGCCTTTTGCTAACAAAGGGCCTTGTGTGGAGCAAAAAAGGGTTGCTTACCTTCCAGTTTGATTAGCGATATCGACGTTTCATGAATTAAACAGCACAAAAATGAATACCAAGAAACATAACTAATTATTTAGGATCTAAACAAGTTACTATTCTTTCTTTTTATGTGCCATGTCCTTTCAGGATGTAGGCGATCATGGCTCTTCACCTCTCTCTAACTCGTGCAGCTCTCAACAAGTTCCTTCCCTCTGCTTCCTCCCCCAGACCACGTTCTGTCATCCACTTGCTTAGGTAGGTCACAAACTGCTTTCCCTTGTCTCTCTTTCTCTCTATTCGACCTGTGAGTATCAGATTCTCCAGGCCCTCCTTCCTCATTATGTGTCCCAGAAACTTCAGCTGCCACTTTCTGATGTTAAGCATAAGGCTTCTTCTTGTTTGTAACCTCTCTAAGACCTCATCGTTGCTCAAACGCTCGGTCCATGATATCCTTAGCATCCTCCTGTAGAACCACATCTCCGTCGCCTCAAGTCTCTTCCCCATCTTTGAGGAAATCGTCCAACATTCACTGCCATAAAGAAGGACAAATGTCACGTAACAGTATTCAGTATTCTTTTCTTTGTTACCAAAGAAATCATCCTGTCTCATAATAACTGTCCAGTATGGTACCAAAACGAAAGTTTCTATCGTTTTGTGTCAATATCGAAATCGAGCTGCTGGTGTATAATCAACTAATATCACCACACGCCAATGTACAAAGGGAAGTTTGGATTTCGGGCATAAATTTTTGTAAGCGTTCTAAAAGAAAAGGAAATATTTGCCGCAGATTAATTCCACAACGCAGAGAACAAATCACTGTAAGTTCAGACTCGAATATCGAGGACAGAAAGAAATGCCGAAAACTCGATTCGCAGGTACTATCTCACAAATCCCAATGCACGTAACCAGTCAGAAAAAAATCACCCACTCTCCAACGAACGCGATCGCCAAAATACATCAATTTTTTTCTCTCGATTCGAGAACACGAAAGTACTTTTATCCGCCGAGCATTTTTTTCATTCGTCGACAACTGGGAGAGGACGTCAAGTATTTTGCATATCAAAATACTTTTATAGAGACTCCTGTGACGGACTTGTTTTTATCTAAATATTCTGTCTTCAGCATGTCAGGCAGAATACATGCCCCCTTTTTTTTTCTTTTTTTTTTTTGGGGTAAGTAATTTTCTTTCACGTGACGCGCTGTCGCTTGGTTTGACGCGATAAGTCGCCGTTTTCTTCGCTATAATTGTTAGCTATTCTCTTGCTCATAGGTGTCTTCTCTTGATAGGTGCAATGTTGTGTGATATTGTCAGAATTTCCATGTCCCTTGATATTTCGTCTTATTGTCAAAATTCCGGATTTACAGACGTGGACATAGGTGTTTAGAGGATTTTTTAGGATGATGGTCGTTGGTGTTTCAGAAAGTTCCTGGTTTTAGTGTTAAAGGCGACACCAGCGTGATATAGAGGGAGAGAAAGAGATAAGAAAGACAGACGAAAATGAAAGCATCTGTCTATATTTCTGAGATTATGTATTATGTACACTACACATTATTCCGACTATTGTCCTCATCTTTGTTGCCATATTTATTACAACGTTTCGGCCGTTGTACGCTTCGGCCTTCTTCAGATGGTTGGAATGTCGAACTGAACCCTTTATTTTACTCACTGGGGTAGACTGTTCTAGTTTCACGTGCCATGTTTCATGGATGTTAGTTATCAGTTATCTCCTGTTAATTCCCTGGATCTAACTAACGCCTTTATCCACCGTGCCAGAAATTCATACACATATGTCCTCAAGGACACATAGCACAGTGGATAAAGGCGTTAGTTAGATCCAGTGACAGGACCCAAAGAGTGTGAGTTCAATATCCGATTAAGGCAGTGGAGAACTTCCAGAGGGGAATTTAATACTCAAGTGTCTATATGGCCCACCTAAATATCCAATTGCCAACCATTTCTGCTTAATTGCTCTTCGTCCACCCAACAGTTGAAACCGGCCAACGGTGGGCGATAGCGCCCAAGTTGGGAAACCCTGATCTAAATAATACAAAAATATTAACTACGATATTTATTACTGTAGAATATGAACTATATTTGTTTCTTTCTTTACAGATACAAAATGGCGCGGCTTGTTACGACACGGCCTCTTCCCGATATGCAAACACCGCCCGTTAATTTGCATGAAAACAAGGCTGAAAATGATTGCAAAGTGAATAATAGTGTGGCAGAGAGTTCGCGTCTGCTAAATGAACGGCGTATTCAGCATAGGGCAGGCAGCAAACCTAAACCGCGCAAAATGTGCAAAGCATTTCGCCTGCCATTGAATATTGGGTGGTACATTCTTTTCTGCTATTGCCCTTGCATATATTTATGCACTGATGTTGATGGAGTTGAAAGTTGCATATAGAAATGACGGATCGAAAGGTAAGAGCGCGATGCAGGAAAATGGCATATAGACATGATGGATCGTAAGGTGAGAGAGCGAGGCAGCAAAGTGGCGTATAAATAAGAGGGATCGTAAGGTGAGAGTGCAATGAAAGAAAGTAGCATATAGACATGATGGATCGTAAGGTGAGAGAGCGACGCTGGAGATTGGCATATAGATATGACGAGTCATAAGGTGAGCGAGTGATGAAGGAGAGTTGCATATAGAGATGAGGAGTCGTAATGTGAGGGCAATGCAGGAAAGTGGCAAAAACATGAAGTATCGGAAGGTGATAGAGCCATGGAGGAAATTGTCATATAAACATGAGGGAACGTAAGGTGAGAGAGCGATGAAGGAACGTTGCATATAGACATGAGGGATCGTAATTTGAGAGAACGATGCAGAAAAGTGGCATATAGACATGAGGGATCGTAGAAGAAGGCCGGTGCGTACAACGGCCGAAACGTTGTAATAAATATGGCGACAAATATGAGGACAATAGTCCGAATAATGTAAATTATGTACAGAATACCTTATCTCAGAAATATAGACAGATACTGAAGAAGGCAGACGGCCAAAACGTTGTAATAAATATGGCGAAAAGATGAGGACAATAGTCCGAATAATGTAAATTATGTACAGAATACCTCATCTCAGAAATATAGACAGATACTGAAGAAGGCCGAAGCGTACAACGGCCAAAACGTTGTAATAAATATGGCGACAAAGATGAGGACAATAGTCCGAATAATGTAAATTATGTACAGAATACCTTATCTCAGAAATATAGACAGATACTGAAGAAGGCCGAAGCGTACAACGGCCAAAACGTTGTAATAAATATGGCGACAAAGATGAGGACAATAGTCCGAATAATGTAAATTATGTACAGAATACCTTATCTCAGAAATATAGACAGATACTGAAGAAGGCCGAAGCGTACAACGGCCAAAACGTTGTAATAAATATGGCGACAAAGATGAGGACAATAGTCCGAATAATGTAAATTATGTACAGAATACATTATCTCAGAAATATAGACAGATACTGAAGAAGGCCGAAGCGTACAACGGCCAAAACGTTGTAATAAATATGGCAAAAGATGCCCGAATAATGTTGTAATAAATAAATATAGACAGATACTGAAGAAGGCGACAAACGGCCAAAACGTTGTAATAAATATGGCGACAAAGATGACACAATAGTCCGAATAATGTAAATTATGTACAGAATACCTTATCTCAGAAATATAGACAGATACTGAAGAAGGCCGAAGCGTACAACGGCCAAAACGTTGTAATAAATATGGCGACAAAGATGAGGACAATAGTCCGAATAATGTAAATTATGTACAGAATACCTTATCTCAGAAATATAGACAGATACTGAAGAAGGCCGAAGCGTACAACGGCCAAAACGTTCTAATAAATATGGCGACAAAGATGAGGACAATAGTCCGAATAATGTAAATTATGTACAGAATACCTTATCTCAGAAATATAGACAGATACTGAAGAAGGCCGAATTGTAATAAATATGGCGACAAAGATGAGGACAATAGTCCGAATAATGTAAATTATGTACAGAATACTTTATCTCAGAAATATAGACAGATACTGAAGAAGGCCGAAGCGTACAACGGCCAAAACGTTGTAATAAATATGGCGACAAAGATGAGGACAATAGTCCGAATAATGTAAATTATGTACAGAATACATTATCTCAGAAATATAGACAGATACTGAAGAAGGCCGAAGCGTACAACGGCCAAAACGTTGTAATAAATATGGCGACAAAGATGAGGACAATAGTCCAAATAATGTAAATTATGTACAGAATACCTTATCTCAGAAATATAGACAGATACTGAAGAAGGCCGAAGCGTACAACGGCCAAAACGTTGTAATAAATATGGCGACAAAGATGAGGACAATAGTCCGAATAATGTAAATTATGTACAGAATACCTTATCTCAAAATATAGACAGATACTGAAGAAGGCCGAAGCGTACAACGGCCAAAACGTTGTAAAAATATGGCGACAAAGATGAGGACAATAGTCCAAATAATGTAAATTATGTACATAATACCTCATCTCAGAAATATAGACAGATACTGAAGAAGGCCGAAGCGTACAACGGCCAAAAACGTTGTAATAAATATGGCGACAAAGATGAGGACAATAGTCCGAATAATGAAATTATGTACATAATACCTCATCTCAGAAATATAGACAGATACTGAAGAAGGCCGAAGCGTACAACGGCCAAAACGTTGTACAATAGTCCGAATAATGTAAATTATGTACATAATACCTCATCTCAGAAATATAGACAGATACTGAAGAAGGCCGAAGCGTACAACGGCCAAAACTTTGTAATAAATATGGCGACAAAGATGAGGACAATAGTCCGAATAATGTAAATTATGTACATAATACCTCATCTCAGAAATATAGACAGATACTGAAGAAGGCCGAAGCGTACAACGGCCAAAACGTTGTAATAAATATGGCGACAAAGATGAGGACAATAGTCCGAATAATGTAAATAGTGTACATAATACCTCATCTCAGAAATATAGACAGATATTGATAGGCCACTCCTTTCGATTTTTATCTTTAATACGGGCATGTCTTAGATCTCTATGCTTTGATACACTCTGTTCCTTATTTTTTGCCCGAATTAAACTTAGATAAGGCCAAGAATCCCCGCCATGTATGGGAAACGACCGCGCATTCATAATCATGCAATATATTTACCAATATAACATCCTAAGTACACGTATATTTGGTCATCTAACGACGGTTGGAAAGCAGGTCGTCGTAATATCAGAAATATAAACAGTTACTGTAAACGTGGTGTACAAAACATTAACTCTAACCCTGCTGTTAAACAACGCATTTTTTAAGAGACATTTTTTTCAAGATACGTCTATAATCATAGGAAATTATATTCATGACAAAATACATCAGCATGGCAATAGTTACTTTGTTTCTAAACATTAAAATTACAAAAATAAAAAGTTACTTTCATGTTTATTTATTTCTTGTCATATTTTTGCTACAGAATTTATGCTTCGGATATGTTTTTTGTTTCATTAAAACTGTTTTAACGTGGATAATTAATTCAAACATTAAAATTTATATTTCGTACCCCCTTATTAACGGGGTGAGAAGTGATGGAACCAAAGCTCTGTCAAATTATTTATTAAACGTAATTAGATTTCATTGGTAAAGTAAATAATATTCCAAGATAAAGAGGATTAAGTTTTCGAGACAAATTAATTCTGTTCTTAATCTCGATTTTTATTTTCTTTGGATTTCTACAGCAGAAGAAGTGCCAAAAACCGAAACGAAAAACAAAAATCTTTGCCCTCAGTGGAACGACGAGATTTGAAATAGGCCTCCAGTTTTGGGTGAGATGTACACAATGATATGGCCTTTAATAAAGATCGTCAGGCTGGATATTTACGACACCTTTTATTTGACAATGATTTAATTCTGGTGAAAATTCCTGCATTGAGGAGAGATAGTCGGAGACACATGTACGACAGGTCTGGCGATTCGAGAGACAGCTCTCTGGCCAGGGGGAGATGGTCCTTGACGTAGACACCAAGGCCGTGCATGTGGGTTAGAGAGTCTTTCCTGAGGAGAGGAAGGTAGCCAGGGATCGAGAGATCAGAGGAGGAATAGACGAGACAAGGTTTGTCTCACACAGAGCCAGTATATCCGGGCAGTTTGCAGTGAGGAAAGATTCCAAACTGCAGAAGTTTGTTCTAATGCCACGGATATTGGCGAACGAAATGTTGAGGGGACGATTTCCAACTACACAAACAAGTTATCAGTTAGATTAGAACAAGTATTAATGTTAAATTAGTCGGATTGATCAAGCAACAATAGCTGAATAGAATAAATACGTAAAACAAGAATATATATATATATATATATATATATATATATATATATATATATATAGAGAGAGAGAGAGAGAGAGAGAGAGAGATAGATAGATATGCTATCGGATGCGTCTTTGGTAGAATGAATTTATACTCACACATGGTGGAAAGTTATTCTTCGAGTCAATTCGGTGGACCCAGTGATTGTACAGCTAGCCATGTCTCAGACCCAAGCGTCAAGTTACAAATAACGCAGTGCTGGGGGGGGGGCGGTCAGTGACCATTCCTGTGATTAGAATTTAAAGAAAGAAATAAGTTTGGTAATTCCACGCCTTAGAATCATTGGAACATAGATGAAAGAATTGTTAAGGCTTATTTGCATTTTCATATTCCTATTTTATATGGTCAAAACTGATTATCAGGCTTTGTCGTATTCTCTAAGCATGAAAATCCCAGTCTCTTTAAACATCTGACAGATAATCAATTCATTTATTCTTGCATTTATTTACACTATTTACATTATTCGGACACCGTTTCGACCGTTGTATGCTCCGGCCTTCTTCAGGTGGTTGCAATGTTCTGTTCTAGTTCCACGTGCCATGTCTAATAGATGTCAGTTGTCAGTTATCGCCTATTAATTCCCCTCTCTAAGTTCTCCACTGCCTTAACCGGGTATTGAACTCAAACTCTTGGGGTCCTGTCACTGGATCTAACCAACGCCTTTATCAACTGTGCCGTTAGTTAGATCCAGTGACAGGACCCAAAGAGTGTGAGTTCAATACCCGGTTAAGGCAGTGGAGAACTTCCAGAGGGGAATCAACAGGAGATAACTGACAACTGACATCCATTAAACATGGCACGTGGAAATAGAACAGACTACCCCAGTGAACGAAATAAAGGGTTTAGTTCGACATTCCAACCACCTGAAGAAAGCCGATGCGTACGACGGCCGAAACGGTGTAAGAAATATAGCGACAATGATGAGGGCAATAGTCCGAATAATGTAAATAGTGTACATAATACATCATCTCAGAAATATAGACAGATAATGAAGGGCCGAGACGTTGTAATAAATATGGCGACAAAGATGAGGACAATAGTTCGAATAATGTAAATAATGTACATAATACCTCATCACAGAAATATAGACAGATACTGAAAGGCCGAAACGTTGTAATAAATATGGCGACAAAGATGAGGACAATAGTCCGAATAATGTAAATAGTGTACATAATACCTCATCTCAGAAATATAGACAGATACTGAAAGGCCGAAACGTTGTAATAAATATGGCGACAAAGATGAGGACAATAGTCCGAATAATGTAAATAGTGTACATAATACCTCATCTCAGAAATATAGACAGATACTGAAAGGCCGAAACGTTGTAATAAATATGGTGACAAAGATGAGGACAATAGTCTGAATAATGTAAATAGTCTACATAATACCTCATCTCAGAAATATAGACAGATATTACATTTATTTGCATGCATTCAGATGTTGGGGGAGGGGGAGATCAGGTGT